TTTTACATCAATGCATTACATAGCTGTGCAGTAGATGCTCGTTATATTATCGCCGATACGGCTGTAGGAACGGAAAATTTGTCAAGCTTCCAAGCTCTTATTTGAAGGTGGAGGAAAGGTAGATTATGATCGTGGAAGGGTGGTAATAAAAATGCTCCAAAATCCATGTGAATGCCAAATCGCTCGCGTCGCAATATAACGAAAGTCCACTGTGTATATATTTTGTGTTTATGAAAGTCCTACACAGTACATATTGTGGTGTATGTCGTATGTGTGTCGGTGCGAGTGCGACTTTTCGGCGTAGGCTCTGCGGGAGGGCGTGTCAAGTAGGTAACGACATCGCGTCGCGCCGTTTGCTTGGAGGGGACCCGTGATTTTTAGGCATTGCGTAGCAATTGAGGGATAATCGACAGTCGCGTCGTTAATGATCGATGAAAACGGACGAAAACGGTCGATAGGCCGGACGCTGTGTGTGTTGATTGTCTGTCGCAAGTTGCATTTCACTTTATATGCGTACCAAAGTTCAAACTGTTTCATTTAATAAACTATAGTCTTAGACCTACACTGTTGTTTCGCATGAAATAAATACTCCCTCGCTATTCTGATTCCACAATATAATAACTTAAATTTCATAAAACCCCATGAAATTCTATGAAATATACAAAAATATAAAGTGTGTTACCTTTTTACAAGTATTGTAGTTTTATTAACTGATCATGAATGTTATCTAAACTCTTTTTTCAATCTCCGGACTTTTTTGACAACTCTGTACATCTTTAAAAGATCTGTTATCTGTTTATTTCTATGATTTATACCGAAGCTTTATTTTTATCCATGTAAACAAAACACTATCTATTTACAAGGTAAATTGAATGTTTCAGAAACTGGCAGTGGTCTAAAAAAACAAGCAGTATACAGATTTGTATTCAGCACACAAAAATCGATGAAAAAATGTAACAGCGTTGTTTTGTTCCATGGTAATAGTTACATCATCACCAACAACGTGCAGTCTGGTTATCGTTAAAAAATGCGAGACTTTTCATACATAGATGCATACAGTTTTCCATACCTATAACACAGCTACAATTTGTAGTATCGTATCATCGTATACAGATTGTGTCATAATAAGTGAGCATAACTTCAATGATGGATTCAATGTACACTCGTGATTAAATCAGGCTTTATTAGGGAAAATGGAATACAGGGGAAGCAAGACTCTAAGATTTTAATTTTGATGATATTAATGTAAAAAATAATTTAGAAAAAAAATGATAAAACTTTGAATTATTAACTATTAAACAATTTAGTATATAACTGATGAATAACAAAATAAACATTTATTCAAATTTTGTCGCTTATGTTGAAATTTGGTTATTTTCATATATCACAGTTGGTATTGAATGATCGTTGTAGAAGAATGAAACTGTAAAAAGGAAGGATGCATTGTAGAAAAATGCGTAATAGGCGTAACAAGTATTAGAATGTGTCAACACTTAGCCATCCGAATGGGGAGATTTCCCCGCTTTAAAGCAAGTCGCTGCACAACCGATCGGGGAGATCTCCCCACTTTAAAGCAAGTCGCTGCATGACCGATCGGGGAGATCTCCTATCTTGACCGTAGCAACGCGTTTTCTTTTTTTTATTATTATTAGTTATTGTTTATGTGGAATTGTACTCAATTAATTGCGGACTTTTTCTGTTTTTATAAAGTACAGTATATAATAAAATACACCAATTTAATAATGTTAAAATTAATTAAAAAGTTACACTATCAGTTATAACTAAATAATGTTATAATAGTATAAGGTATAAGGTATAAAAAATAAATATTAAAAAATAAAGTATAAGGTATCAAAAAATATCGTTAAAAATGTCCGGAAGCAACAATGAACATGTAAGTGAATTGTTCATGGACGCACTATCAGACTGTTCTGAAGATAGCGATATGCAGGTACGTGATTATGAGTTTAGCGAAGATGATAGTATTATTGTTTCCATACATCAAGGTAATCATCGAATACTTTTGAGCGATTCGGAGGATGATATAGTTAGTTCCGACTGTGAAGACATTATTGTCAATGGTGTAGATGATTGGTCAGCAAATCATATGGAACTTGAACTAGAAGCATATGATCGAACTCCAAGCGTGAACACGATACCTCATGATCAGGAAAACGTATTGGAAATAATTCAGTTGTTCCTTGGCAATAATTTATTTGAATTATTAGTAACAGAAACAAATAGATATCGCTCTCAAGTTTTAAACAAATATAAAGAATATAAATCAGTGAAATGGGTTGATGTCACAGTAAGAGAAATGAAAAAGTTTCTGGGTTTAATTATATTGATGGGACAGATACGTAAAGATAATATATATGATTACTGGTCAACTCTTTCATATATAGAAACCCGAATCTTTTCAAAAAAAATGAGTCGTAATAGATTTATACAAATATGGCAAATGTGGCATTTTTGCAATAATGATTTAATGCGTGACAAGTTGGATAAATTATTCAAAATTAGAAATGTTTTAAATTATTTACAACACAAATTCAAAACTGTATATACGCCAAAGCAAGAATTGTCACTAGATGAAGGCATAATACCTTGGCGGGGCAGATTATCTTTCCGCACCTATAATCCCGCAAAACTAACAAAATATGGAATTCTGGTGCGGATGCTCTGCGAAGGAACATCAGGATACATATGTAATTTTGAAGTGTATTCAGGCGCAGGAGCAAAATTACAAGATACAATTTTATCAATTCTACAGCCTTATCTGGGATTCCATCATCACATTTATATGGATAATTATTACAATAGTGTAAATACAGCCGAATTACTGCTATAGAAGAAAACGAGAGTTTGTGGCACAATTAGGGCAAATAAAGGATTTCCGTCGAATTTAAAGAACATTACATTAAAAGAACATGAAATAAAATTTGCGAGAAAGGGCCAAGTTCTTTTACAACTGTGGCAAGTGAAGAGAGATCGATTAGTGAGAACTATTTCAACCATTCATTCAGCAGAAATGGTAAAGGTTACACATTGGTCCGGAGAAAAAATAAAACCCAAGTCTGTTGTATAATACAATAAATATATGAAAGGAGTCGATCGTGCAGATCAATATATGTCTTATTACAGTATTCTTCGAAAAAGCACCAAATGGACAAAAAAAGCAGTGCTTTATTTTTTTCATGCTGCTCTTTTTAACTCATTTCTAGTCCACAGAAAAATAAATAATAATAAAACAACATATAAAATATTTTTGCTTACAGTTGCAATAGCATTGATAGAACAACACGAAATTCAAAATTTAGGCACCGAAGAAGCAGAACCTTCGAACGCGATAGAAAGAACAAGACCAGCACCGAGATATGACCCACCAGCAAGGCTATCTTAAGATTTTAAGAAACACAAATTAGTACCAATTGTAAGGGCTGGAAAAAAAAATATCCTCACCGAAAATGTAGAGTATGCTCTGCTAATAAGAAAAATGGTTATACCCGATATATTTGCGAATATTGTAATGTGCCACTGCATAAACTGACTTGCTTCGAACGATACCACACTCTAAAAAGATATTAAAATACGTTATGAATTTTTAATTTCACGTTCGAATCGTGTTATTTATCTTTAGTCATTTTTAATATTGTTAATTTTGCCTATATTTTTTGCATAAACTACAAAAAATAATTATTATATACCTTTAAGGGGGTAGACACGGGTAATAGTAGCGCGTTGACTTTACCGGCAAATATGGGCCTAAACATGGGTTTACGGTACTACACTTTTCGTCCTTATATGAGAACATTTGAGGCTGGATGAGGGCTCATTCGAAAGAGAAAGGTTTAGTGCAGCGCGCTTTGGTCATCGTTTGAGTCACAAAACTCTTTTAGTGACCTAAAAATACCTTGGATTCTGCGGATGTATTTTCTCGATTTTTCCTCTACTATTGACACTCATATTATTAGATATTAACAAAATCTCGTTCAATATTGACCAGAGCGCGCTGCATTGAACCTTCCTCTTTCGAATGAGCCCTCATCCAGCCTCAAATATTCTCATATAAGGACGAAAAGCGAAAAATCCCGGACCCCTTTTTAGGCCCATTTTTGCCGGTAATGTCACCTCGCTGCATTACCCGTGTCTATCCCCTTAAGGGCACAGACTCCTTCGAGGCCTCCTCCGAATCGATGTAAGCGCCATTATAAAGAATCGGGCAATCGTGAAAACATATAATTGATAAATGTGATGTGGCGGCTGGTATCAATGCCGATAAGGAAGATTGGGCTGGCGTCAATGCCGATAAGGAGGATTGCTCCGTCAAGACTTTTCTCACCGCCATCTTTGTCGAACTACATTAATTGTTCATTTATTACATTTAAAACAAATTGGAATTAGTTTTATGAATATTCATTCCTCCCAAAATCCTCAAACCATTCAGACCTGTCAACCTTTTAAAATTCCCTTTTCAATAAATCTTTTAATTTGTACAACCGAATGTTTCAAATCATTCAATTTAAATGTGGGATAAGCTCCCATAGTGACATTTGACGGTGTGACATCTAACGTCATTATGCAGAATAAGAAACGAAAGTGAGGTGGCGTAGTTGTCGAATCACATCATTTGAGAGTTCTGTCGCGGTGTTGCCACATCTGTGACAATCCTGACCATCTAGCAAAATGAATTCGCTCGAGCCGAGCGAGATTTTGATTCCAGGCGAACATAGAAAAGGACAGCGCGATAGAAAGAGAAGGAGTATCATGAATCAAACAACGTAGTACCGATCGGCGGAAATACGTATGTCGAGTCACACGCCACGACAGATTCGATGAGACTGTAATACACATAACGTACGCGACTATAAAACTTATACGAATAAAAACTACATGGCATTAATAATTTCAGAAAAGGAATGGAAAATAAACAGATGTAAATTGATCTATATATACAATATTTATTTATTGAAATATTATCAATATATATAAACAATAATTGGCCGCCCGTCGCCCGTCGCCCGTTGCCCGTCGCCCGTCGCCCGTTGCCCGTCGCCCGTCGCCCGCCGCCCGCCGCCCGCTTCGGCCTCTTCTTTCTCCGCGGCGTCTGCATCGTCGATTACCATGACAGCCATCCCAGTCATGTGGTATTGAATTATTTTTTATCTGAAATATAATAATGAATCTTTTATAAGAAGAAAAAGCAATTATGGAAATTCAGTTATATGTTGTAGACATAACTTCCATTTCACGAAAAATCTAATTCTGCCACATTTATTACATACATAGAAGAATCAACGCTTTTACTTACGTGCGACGTCGACGGCCTCGGATTCTCCTTTCTCTTCTCTTTTATCCGACTTCGTTCCTTAGACCTTTTTCTCCTGTTTCTTCTATCCTCTTTCTTTTTCATTTCCTCTTTCTTTTCTTCTTCTTCTTCCTCGTCCATCTGTGAAGAAAGTAATTTATGTATAGATAACGTAATATTAATTATGTAAGATTATACTTGCCGATTATACGTGATCAGACAGCATATTTGCAGTCCATTTGTCCTGGTAACGCTTTCTTGAATGTACCTATATATAATTTTTTAATTTTTTTCGAGAAGAGGAAAATGCTGTCTTTAATTTCTCAACGACAAAAATGTTCATGCAAACATGAAGGAAGATGAATGAAGATAAATATTGAAAAAAGAAAATGTTAATGGAAATAGATGATTAAATAAATTCCTTTTAACGATTTTTTTCAGATTTTGCTCAAATTTAGATATGTTGTAGTTTTTAGTGATATATAAACGTATCTCGAAGAAGTCGAAGGTACTTTGAAATATTTTTTATAATTATAGGAATGAAAACTATAGGACATTAATAATTTCAAGAAGGGAATAAGAAAAAAATTGTTTCAGCTGAAAAAATAAATTTTGAGTTCTACGCTCGCTTCGCTCCAAAAAACTTCTTCTCAGGAATCCTTTCTTCGAAAATCTGTAACAAATTTTAAGAAATATAGTATGGCATCGCGTAACTCACGAGATCGTATGATCCGCGAGTACAATTGTTATTTCATGCAATTGTAAACCACTAACAGAGTCAGTGTTACTGCACTTTATTGCAGTGTGTATATCGGCGTCGAGCAACTCGCGAGATCGTATGATCCGCGAGTACAATTGCTATTTCATGCAATTGTGAACCACCAACAGAGTCAGTGTTACTGCACTTTACAGTGCAGTGCGACGCCGGACAGTAGCAGTATTCGTGCTACTTTCTGAGAGAGACCTTTTGCGCTTTTCTAAGCTTGCTCTCTCCTCTGTTATAAATTGAGGCTCCCGAATTGGCATTCCCCTATTGTACCGGCTATCTATTAATTCCGGTAACATGCACAATAAGTAAAATTGAATTAATTTTGGCTCCATATTGTTTTGCCAAAAGTTATCGTCTCTATCGACTCTAATGTACTTTAACCCTTTTCGAGTCCAAATACAAAATAAGCAATATTTTCTACCTGTGACATGTAATTGTCCTTGTACTTGGTAGTAATAATAGTGGTTCCTGTTCAATGCATTTCCTTCTGCATCTACAAATATACGCCGAATAACTGCAACACTTTTGATTGCCTCCTTCGGCAATAAATTCTCCGCCGTTTTCGGACATTTGATTTCCACAATGCCCTCTTTGTCTATAAGTCCATCTGGCGAAGCTCCAAAGAACGGAATGGCACTATCAATGAATAAGCCACATTCCATAATTTCAACATCAATGCACACACTTACAATTAGTTCTTCACGTGCGAATTTTTCGCATTCCTGTCCATATTGTACTGCAGATGCACTAATCAGTCGTGGATACACTAACGATTTCACTGAATTTCCACAGAGCGTGCCAATTCGACGACGGCATATTCGTCCAAAATTAGAGGCCGTCAATAATTTAGATTTATAATTCAACCATCTCGGATTTTTCGCTTGACCGATGGTTTCTTCTTCAATGGAATCTCTTCTATTTTGCCAATTCTGTAACATTTCCATATGTTTTTTTTGCTCTAATTCATAAATATTGTTAGCCATATCCGGCTTTTCAGCGTTTGGTCCGTAATTGGAATCCTTTTCAAAACGGAATTGTTTCCGCACGTGCTTCGTCATTTTTTTTCCTTTCCCTTTTCAGTGTATTTGTCATTTTCTTTCTTCCTTCTATTTTCTATTTTGCGTAAAATAACGGGCGGTTTCTTGTTCATCGCCGTATTCAGACGCGACAACACTTGTTTGTGTTATACTGTAGGACAGCTGCAGCACATCTTCCCGTGTAAGATCCCCTCTCGCCGAAATTCAATCTTTTTCCTCCTGTATATTTTGCGATGATTCCGTTGAAACTTTCGAAGGCATTATAGTTTTGAACAATTTGCGTGTTCACCAAAAACGTGGCTAGGAACATTGTGTATATCGGCATATAAATTCTTAATTTTCTCAGCGGTTGTTACTTACTGACTGTATCTGAACTCTGCGGCTTTTACTATGTCCGCACGCATTCGCCAAATGCTGCTTTCAACGATTCTTCTCAATAGACCAGGTGTTGTCATCTTTACAACTTCTTTCATTTTTCTGCAAAAGTTTCGCAACAAATGATTCGTGCATTCAATTTTTTTTACACGAATCTGTGCTTTATATGGATCTGCATCTATAATTTTTTTATAAACGCTGCTGTCCCCATCAGCAATCAGTGGTGAATAAATCAGCCCACGTTTTTCGACGCTGGTCTTTAAGCCTTCGACTATAGCGTCACTTTCCATAGCCGTTGATGCTTGGCTTGCGCTCCAATTTTTGAAGCGGCAAATCGACAAATCCTGCACACCGTGTCTCTCACACCGATAAATAAAACTTTCTTCGTATAGTATCCAATTATAACGCCGACTCCAGACGCGGAATCGTACGTTTCAGTCCGGTATGATCGTTTCATCCAGCTTCCATCGGCCACAACAGGGATGTGAGGGATTCCAAATCCGGGAACAATATCGCCGCTTTCAATGGCCAAGCGTTTTTCTTCCTCTGCCGTTTCTGTTTCTTCATCCAATGGCAAATAAATTTTCTCGGGGGTGTATCTTTGTTCATCGAATGTTGATTGTACGGAAGTTTTCTGAAGGGCTAACCGCCGCCTTCTTTCGCGGCATGCTGTTTTTCTCGAATATCTTTTCGTACTGATTGTATATTTTGGCCGACGACTTCTATTATCCGCCACACATTGATGTTCACATTCATTTCTCCTATCTTCAATCACTTCAATTATGAGAACATTTTCACTATCACTCATTGTCACTATCACACAACAATATTCACCTCTCACTTTGATTACTTCACACTTTCAAAGCTTTGAAACAAATTCAATGATGCTATCTATTTCTTGCTTCGAATGCAACTGTCGCGAAGATGTAAAATGCACTACGGAGAAACATATGGCACCATGGTGGGGAGTGTTTCTAAGGACTACGAAAAGTAAAGAACAATGACAAAAAAAAGTTTTGAAGTTGTATTCATTTATAATATTATGATTTAAAATTATAAAAAAAAAATATAACATGAAAATAAAAATTTAATCCGTAAAATTAAAAATTAGAAATTAGGAAAAGGTCTATTTTATAAAACAGTGAACACGGTCCTGATCCCCACCACCATTCGAGTGGTTTCAGTATCAACGACAAAAGACAATCAAATTACAAGATATCAGACCAAGAGGTGCGTATAATCGTCCAGTAAAATTATTATATCATTAATATTACGTTGTTTATATATAAATTACTTTCTTTACAGATGGAAGTTACCAAAACAGACGAGGAGAAGAAAGAAAGCAAAGAAGAAAAGAAAGAAGAGGTGAAAGAACAGAAAAAAGATGAAAAAGAGAAACAAGAAGAGAAAGAGAAGCCGTCGTCGTCAAAAGTAAGTAAAAACATTAATTTTTCTATGTAATAAATGTGGCAGAATTAGATTTTGGTGAAAAGAAATCATTTCTACAATAGTAGCAAATGAATTTACACGATTATTTTTTTTTTTTTTAATAATGTCACAATTATAATACAATTCATTATTATATTTCAGATGAAAAAATTACTAAAGAAAATTGTATATGGTGGTGGCCACCGTCGAGGAAAATGGGACGGCGGCGGCGGCGGCAGGAGACGGGGCGGCGGCAAATGATGGGGCGGCGACAGAGGAGGACGAAACGTTATTGTTAATTACTATTGAGAAATAATAAATAAAAAGAATATATGATAAATTAATACATATCTCTTTATTTCTTATTCCCTTTGTTGCGAATCTCCGGCGAATAATCGCGACGGACCCGCGGGCGAGAATATTCGCGACGAGAAATTCGTACGAGTGCGAGTGAGAAAGCAAGATGACAAAACCGATGTCGTTCCGTGCGACAAAACACAGTTTGTCTCGCAAAGCCATCGGTATCGTCATCTTGCTTTCTCACTCGCACTCGTAAGCATTACACCGTCCGCGCGATCAGCTGTCACAGGCGAGCATCGGCCGCTGATTCTTTGTTTCCTATTTATAGACGCGTTTAGAATTAGTGTAAAACTGTTGCATCCTTACTCCCTCCGATTCACCTTCTTGAAATTATTAATGTCCTGTAGTTATGTGTATTATTTCATTCTTGCTACCTCTCTTTCGTTCGCGCTGTCCTTTTGTATGTCCGACAGGAATTAAAATCTTATCAGTAAATAATAAATACATAAATAGGAACACAAACAGCACATTTATATCGCTTTCTTTATCTTTTTGCATATAGAATATACGAATATTGCAAAATGTGCAAGTTTTATAATTCATTTCTCTGGCATATCTCTATATTTTTCATTGATAAAAAAACATGATTATAAATATGAATAAAAAAGTTTTATGGTTTGCCACACATTATGTATTGTTTCATTCTCAGACCTGATGATTAGAATTGTAACAGGTGTGAACAGCGTGACAGAAGTTTTAATACATTGCGGCAACTATGCCTTACTTGTGGCTATATTCGCGTAGCCGTTTGTGGTATCAAATTAGAATTTACATTTATGTACCTGATGTACTTCATGTACACTGAGTTGCATTGAACTTGTCGCAATGAAGTTGGCTACAAATTCACTAACACATCCACGCTGCGTTGGTGAGACGATGGACGAGATCGACTCACCGACGCGGCGTGAATGTGTTAGTAAATTTGTAGCCAACTTCACTGCGACAAGTTCAATGCAACTCAGAGTATCTATGACCCTGATGACAACGTGGTCAAATATACCATCAATGCCTCTGACGGAGAATCAGTGAACTATTCTTTCCTCTATTTTACGTCTAAAAATAATTTTTCACAGAAAAATTAGAAAAATATATAAAATCCATAGAGATAATCCCGCAAGAGGCATTAATAAGAACAGCAAATGGCGATACATTAAAAAAAAATAAAAAAGGAAGACTCCTGTTGTCCTATAAAGGAAATAAGATGTTTAGAAGCATTTATTGTGAAAAATTTAAGTCATAATCTGTTATCAGTTAATCAATTGACAAAGAAAAAATTTTAAATAATATTTCATGAAAACATAGCAAAAATAATTAGTGAAAACATAAATATAATAACGAAAAAGGACGGTAAGACATACACTATGACATTTGAAATAAGAACTGAAGAGAATAAAGCATTTGCAGCAGAAAATGATTTAACCCTATGGCATAGAAAGATGGGCCATTTGAACAGCAAAAGTTTGAAAATGATGGGATTGCCAGTAGCAGAAGCAAACTGTGAAGCCTGTATCAAGGGGAAGTCCGTTATATCTACTTTTAGAAGATGTAAATATTGTACTCTCGATCACATCATATAGGTGAGCTGATTCATACTGATTTGTGCGGACCAATATATCCAGTCACCATAAATGGCGAAAAATATGTTTTTTTTTTTCTTGTGTGTAATACTTCCAAACGATAACGGAAAACTAAAAACTGCTAAAAACTAAAGATGAAGCTGTTGCAAATATAAAAAGGTTTATGTACAGGATAGAAGCTCAGTTTGGGAATAAAGTCTATTGGCCAGAGATGGTATGTAATTTTTACATGATGAAGAAATAAGGTATGCGTCAGTAGCCAGGCTTTCTACAGTAAGAATGCTAATAACGCTGGTCTACAAAATAATTGGACGATAAAACAGCTGGATGTACTAACGGCCTTCCTAAATGAGAAACTTGAAACAGAAGTATACATAAATCCACCTCAAGGCCTAGACTAAGCAAAAGGTACAGTGTATAAATTGAAAAAAGCATTATATGGCCTTAAAGAAGCACCCAAGTCCTGGAATGAAACTTTTGACAATTTTGCAAACACCCAAGGATTTAATAGATCTAGATGTGATTTTTGCCTGCATAAACGAAAGCAAACAATCATGTTAATATATGTTGATGATATTCTCATAACTGGAGAAGAAACTGAAGACATAATACAATAGTTGAAAATAGAGTTTAATACTAGAGACTTAGGAGAGCTCAAGAACTTCTTAGGAATGCAAGTCAAACAAGAAGGAAATTTGTTCAAGATCTCACAAGAAAAACAGATAGACAAAATACTGACTTTTGGACTTGAGAATTGTAAAGGAGCGATGACTCCAATGGAGGCAAATTTTCATGCAGAAGAGGATGCATATACGATAGATATACCGTATAGGGAGTTGATAGGTAGCCTGATGTATATCTCAATGGGCACTCAACCCAATATTACATATGCAGTGTCATGTTTAAGTAGGTTTCTTGACAAGCCAAACCAAGCTACATGAATTGCAGCCAAAAGAGTGCTGAGATATTTGAAAGAAACGAAAGAGATGTGTTTGAAATATAAAAAGAGCAACTCGCTTGATTTAGTTGGTTTTTCAGATTCAGACTTGGCAGGTGATATCAAAGGTCGAAGGAGCACAACGGGAGGTGCCATATTCTACAACGGTAACTTAATATCATGGATATCAAGGAAACAACAAAGTGTAGCCTTGGCATCAACCGAAGCGAGTCTTCTACGAGCGGTCGAAGCGATCGGACGTAAACCTTTCTCCTGTTTATGTTGTGGTCGCTAGTTCTACGAGTTTCATTATCGCTGTTTCAATTGTTACGGTGTGTAATCATTTATATATTTGAATACTTGTGAACCAGT